TTAAACCTTAATTTTTATAATTTCCAAAGTATTTTGGCGTTAGTATATAAATAAAAATTACACAATGCATAAACCTGAATTCAATAATACTTAACTTTCGGCAACACTTTGCCTTTTTGCCTTTAACGAGGTTATCTAAAGCAAGGTTCGTTAGGATTAGTTTTTTTGATGCATTTAGTAGGTTTATTTATATAGATATCAAGAATGTAATTTATGTAATTTATGCAATATGTAGATCAATATGTAAACATTAGCTGACCTCCTTGAGATTCGAGAAGACTTTCGAGATTCGTGAAGACTTTCGAGATTCGAGAAGATTTTCGAGATTCGACAAGACTTTCGAGATTCGAGAAGACTTTCGAGATTCGATAACACTTTCGAGATTCGATATCGATATTTCGACACTGAGATTTATCGAAATAGTTTCGACACGCCAAAATACTTTCGATAAGCATCCTTAGTTACGATAAGGCGAAGATTTTTGTAGATCCATTTTTTTTAACATATTGTTTAGTATGGTGACAGATAACAAAGGCAAAATAATTTATGACTATGATCAAAATTTTTTTGAAATACCGTTTAAAATTAAAGTTGAAACAGCTGATGAAGACTCTTATGCTAAATTACCTTTGGAAGATGAAATGGTCTTATATTTATTTCTGATAGATTAATGTATAGACTTCTAGGTTTTTTACAAACTATACATCCACGTTCGACCCATAAACAACAATAAGCTTTCTTAGTTAAGCCTTCTGGAGGTCCTAATCGTAACTCTGGTAAGCGACTGGTACCGTTACCACACTAAAACTGAGCGTAAGCTGGAGGAGATTAACCAAAACCTGGAAGACACCCAAACTGAATTTACCCAACAGTTAAAGATCCAAGAGTCTAAAATCAAGTTGGAGCTAGAAGAAAGCCATGGTAAGAACATCTTTCTCGAATCTAACCAGATCTTGATCGCAATCGGTGATATCTATTCATTCAAGTAAGATGCTAATCGTATACAAACTTTGGATAGAGAAATCGATGAACAATTCCAAAAGAATGTATAAAATAGGATGTGGTTTATCCGATTTCTATTTTTTAACACGAAATTGTCTTTTTCCTTTAGATTCATCTACAACAACCGTCATTTATTTTTTTTTTCAAACAATTCGTTGGACAACATTATTTATCAATAAAAATTATTACAAATATAATTTATTAAAAAAGAAATAAATCACTTAAATGCTTATTTATTTAACAAATAAATACTTGTAAACAATTTATATCATATTGCATTCAACATATATAACAAAAAACAGCTTAATTCTTAGTTTAGTTTTTTTAATTTATCAATATCTTGAATAAGTGAAAAGACGCTGCGCTGCCTCAAGCAAAGTGATCCTTTCTTCAAATAAAGATAAGTTACTTTTAAGTCTCGGTTCCTTGTTAATTCTATCACATAACGCCGTAATATCTTTAAGATAATTTTTTTCTTTCACAACCTCGTTCTCTTTTTTCAAAAATTTGATCTTCTCTTCAAATACTTGATCTTTTCGTTTTTCAAATTATCGTCAATACTTTTTCGATTCTTCCATTCAACATATTGAACTTCAAAAGTATTTATAAGCTTTCCATATCCTAATAAAAACATATAAACACACGATTATTGTGTTTAGAGTTTTTCCGAACATTTTCAGCATGCGCAGAAGCTAAAACGTTAGAAACCAAAAGTCCGATTTCTTCTTTAGGTCTAGTGTCCATCACGTTAAGAAATTTGTTTACATCGATATCGCTCACAAAATCTCAACGATCTGAGATGTCCTACGAAAAAAAAAAAAAAAATGAACATTTCATGCATCATCATTAACTGCCAACGTCTACACCAGGCGATTCTACAGTTACAACGACGGGTTACATCGCTCGTAGCTCACTCAACCGGCAGCGTAACTTGCACGTTAGTTTTGAATTTAACAAATAAATGTCCAGTGAAAAAGCTCACCTTCAAAATCTAAATTATTATTATTAAGGATTTTTCTTATTCCCAAAATACACGTTTCGAGCTTGAACAGTTGCAAAATTATACTATTTATAACTAAAATATCATAAACGAACGCGATAAAGATTTTATCATGATCACGGCGAGCTAAAAAATCTTCGTATGTAATTCTAAATTGACCAACATATTCTTCGAACGATCCTTGTTTGATATATTTCTTACCAAAGACATCTTTTCAACATTGAAACTGAGCATTTAAATAACTTTTTCATGATTAACATAAACAAATAAACACGTTTCCTAAACAAGTATATATCAATCTTTGTGATCACTTATAATTGATACGTACGTACTGTACGTACATAAAATCACCTCCGATTACTAAATATGGCCAGATCCGTTTACATATCATATATTGCATAAATTCTATTCTTGATAACTATCGCTATACGTATATAAATAATACTACTAACTGCATAAAAAAAACTAATTCTGGCTTTTTTAAACATGTTAAATTTCAAAAAATGTGATCTATCAACATTTTCTGAAATAAAGCACGCTGTTTTTAAGGGTCCCGATTTTTGAAGCCCGTTATTTTATAAGTACTGTATATTGTATATATTTTTATATAATTTAGAGCGCACTTAAAGTCATGTTTTTTTTCGCCATAGCTAATTTTCGAAAGTATAAAGAAGCTTATATTATATAAAATTCATTATAGATTCAAAAGATTCCTAACCATCAAACTATGTGACTAATAATAAACATGAATTTTACCAAATCAAGCTAGAATATCGAATCAAACTGAACACCGTTCATATCTTATAAGTTATGCGAATGATTTATATGTTCATACGCGAAGGATATAATTAATAAATTGGTAGTAGTTCTTTAAATTATTGATTTATTACTGTTTACTGCGCAATTTTGCGAAGACTTGATTATTGTATAAATATATTAGTTTTTATTGCATAAATAATGTATTTTACGTATATACTGTATCAAATAAATATTACTGTATTAATATATAGTAATAAGTGAGATGTACCTCGCGCGAGGTCAAACTAGCATATATTCACAAGGTTACATTGCGTGATTTTGCGCGATTTTTTATGTGAGTCATGTAAAAAAACTTATTAATAATGTGACATAACAAGAACGTAGTCATTTAATGAAGTTGCGAGTGTGAGAATTTTGTTATCTCACACGAGGTACATCTCTAGAACAAACATTACCGACAAAGCCACCTCCCTTATCAAATATAATATCTCTCATAAAAAAAGACCCGAGTACAATTTATAAGATCATATTTCTGTAAATTGAATAAGACCCGGTGCATTCCCTGATTATAGTATCCCTCCTCTTGATTTACTCAGATAGGTACTACTATATTCATAAATTTTATATAGTCAGTATAGTCAGTAGTGCAAATGCCCCATACTGGGCGATTTACTTATTTGCGCCGGTGATACAATCTCAAAGAAGGAAAAAACATTATTTTTGTTAGTTTTTTACTACGTAATAAAACGTTGAATTTAGAACTTTAGGATTAGGGCGAGGCCTAGGATTTTAGCAAAGTGGCATATATGCAAAATTTAGCAAGGAATTTTTTTAATTAGTACGCCAAAGGTGGTTTCTTAGTCAAAATTTAAAAGTCTTCGCAAGCTCTACACCTGATCTTATGATCTACATATGAAAATTTCCTTTTCGTGTTTGTATCACCGGCACAAATAAGTGTACGCCAATTTAATTATGACCATTAAATCGTTTTTCCTTCTAGAAGGCTCGAAAAATATAAGTTGGCAATGAGTTGACAATGAGTAGGTAATGAGTTTTAACCGTCAAGTTTAAAATAATATACTTTTTATACCTATATATATAATAATTGTTTTTTTTTTTGATTTAATACTTTAACGACTCTAACCTAGTTTTTTTTTCGTATTATACAGTGAAAACGAAAATTACTATAGAAAACATTATTATTTACTATTCGCATATTTAAAATATAAAATAATGCAATAGAACTTATATTTAAAAGATTTTTACTAATTTTTTATTAAAAAAATAATGTAAATATCGCGTATTAGTTCTTCTTATCGTTGTTTGAGGCTTTTACTTGTGTTGTTATTGTCGTATCAGTACTAAAGTATTATATATCACATGAAATGAGTCCGATCAGCCCATATCGATATAAAAAAGAACGTTACAGCGTATCTATGTGCTCCCCAAAATTTGATCAACCAATCAAACGGTAAATCAAATTTTGGGGAGCACATAGATGTATTCGTAAAAATGTACGTATGTAAAATTGCGTTCCCAACTCTGTAGCACAGAGAAAATAATTTTAATGATAATACTAAGGCTAAGTAAAAAAAACGCTGTTTTCGGAGCATTTTTATGAAGCTATAAGAATATGAGTGAGTTATTTATAGTGTCAATAAAATTTGATTATTAATTCATGCGCATATTAATACTATGACATTATATTAGCATTGGAATGTTCAAGTCAATTAAAAGAATATTTAGAAGAATATAAAATAAAACGTTTCGATGATTTAAAATTCAATGACCTCTCAAGCATCGGATCTGGAGGATCTGCAATTATATATTACACTACTTTTCAAGAAAAAGGCTACGCAGTAAAAAGTTATGATATTAATTTGTGTATGGATGATAAAACGCTTAAGAAATTTATTAAGGAGGTACTCTACTTTCATTCAGAATTAAAGTTCTTAATATCAAAATAATAAATGCATATTATATTAATTTATTATATAGCTTAAGATTTTCCAGACTATTGATCACCAAAACATAATTAAATTCTATGGAATTTCAGAAAGTATGAAAAAGAAATTAAAATTTTGAAATTAAATTTGAATTGTGAGCTTTAAACTTATCTGAGACTGTCTATAATTTAGTTCATGGTGGAAATTTATTTCAAAAGAATTTTGTGTTAGTGTTACAATTTGCCAAAGACGGTAGTTTGCGAGATCATTTAAGAACTAAACAACAAAATGGTTTTTATAAAATTTCATGGAATGAACTTATAAAAATTGCAACGGAAATTGCGCTCGGATTAAGACATTTACATATGAACAAAATTATTCATCGAGATCTAGTAGGTTAATTTACAAATTCTCGGTTTTCGTAATCAAATTGAAATTAATTGTTCATTTTTAAAATATTCCTAGCATTCCAAAAATATTTTATTAGATAATGGCATTGCTTTGATTGCAGACTTTGGGATCTCAAAACAATTAAATGATGCTAGTACTTCGAGTTCAAATTTTATGGGAATGCTAGCATATATTGATCCACAATGCATCCAAAACCGAATAAAACCGAATAAAAAATCCGATATTTATAGTCTAGGCGTACTATTATGGGAGCTTACAAGCGGAATTCCGCCATTTCATGGTCTTTCTATAAATGACATATTTTCGGGAATTTCGAAAAACTATGAGAAAGTTGCTGAAAATATACCCCAAGATTATGTTGATCTATACAAGAGGTGTTGGTCTTTTGAACCGAATGAACGTCCAGAGCTGAATAGTATATTAAGTACATTCAATAAACTATCAAACGAAGTAACTATTGAACCAATTACAAACAAAATTTATGGAAATTACGAAATTAATTCGAATTTGACAAACGAAAGTTGGGAAACTCTTAACTCAAGTTATTCGGATGGAAGTTCCAAAACAACTAGCTCGAATTGTTTCTCGACTTTTTCAGGTTATAACCCTCTTTTTTCGGATGAGAGTTGCAGCTTTCTAAGCACGAGTTATTCAAATGTAAGTTATAAAACATTTTTCTCCAATTTTTCAAGCGTGAGTTACTAAAAAAAAAAGAAAAAAAAGAATAGGATGTTAGAAGATTATCTTAATAAGTATTATTGACATTTAAAATTACTAGCAATACTTGTTCAACTATTTATTAGAAATTATTAACCAACTGGGATCACAACAAATTACTGTGATTATGCATCTTTTTATTTACAATGTTCAAATTTAGGACAAATCTAACTGTAACAACCTGTTACATATAACAACTATGAAAGAGTCAACTAAATAGCTTAATTTATGTGTAACTAAAAGCCAATCGCAAATGTTATTAGCTAACTGCTTAGTTGTTTCATGTAACAGGTTTCTACAAATAACATTTTTTACAAATTTATAGATTTTCTTAGAACTTTTATAAACGATAGGTTTATATTAGTCTTTATTATTGAAATACAAATTCCAAGCTAACTTAGAATATAAAAGTTCTTGTGTACAATAACTTTAAAGATAATTTTCGGACTTCACAAATTATTAATATATATATGTTTTTTTTTTTAAAAAAAAATAGGATTTTCCTTTCGATGATCCATATAATCTAATTAAATTTAAATATGTGGTTAAAGGTGTTGATGTTGAAAAACTGCCCAAAAACTTATTGATAGATGCACTTGAAAAACTTAGTGTTGCTCCTGAATATAAGATTTATAGAAGAAATGTCGTTGCACATCTCGAATTACGTCTCCGAACTTTAAAGGCAACGTTAGAAATAATTGTATATGATTTTGTTTCTTTACAGCTTGAATTCCGTGATAAACTTCTTAAAAATCTGAAAACTTATATTGATCTTCATTATGGGATAGTTGCCAGCCATGTGCATTGTCGAAATTATAATATAGATTTCTTATTGATTCATTTATTTAACACTTTACAAAATATTCCTGTTGACGAAATTCAATCAGGAAAACCCTTAAAAAAATCCATTACACCCGAAATAAATATTCATTCAGGAGTTCCGATGCCACAAGATGCGTTAAATTTTTTACAGAATTTTAATGTTTCAAATTTTAATTGTTTTACTGGATGGTACAAAAAATGGCGCGATCTCTTAAATGTTCGTCACTCATTGGAAATTGCAACTAAACAAAGCCATGACTTTTTACAATATCACAAAGAAATTTTTCTTCTTGAATTCTTTTGGAGATATGCTTTTGACCAAATTTCTGATCAAATTATGCCAGTAACAAATATTTTAAAAGAAACCTTGACTAGTAAAAATAAATTTTTGTACTTTTTTGATAAAAAAGATTCAATTTCTTCACTTAATTTGTTATGGTTTGGAACACTGGATATTGTTCAAGACATATGCTATACAACGACGGATCCTATTATTTTAGCAGTCTGTTACTATTTAAGCCTAGAATCTTTACGAAAATCTCAATGCATTTTTATTAAATTTAAATCTTTAGAAATACTTCTATCTTTATTATTTAACGAACGTGAACAATTTCGTAACATGATAAAAGAAGAAATCCTTAGATATTGTGATGAATCTCTGTTCAACATTGTGCATCAAAAACTTCAATTGGACGATGAACTTATTAAGAAATCAAAAAATTATGATGTTCCTATTTTCCAAGAGAAATATTTAGCGGTGAACATATTCACATTGTTAAAAGATATTATTAAAGAAAAATTAATTTTAAGAAAAGATACTGGGGATTTCCTTGATTTGAAATGCGGGCATAAAATTGATTGTATTACAATTAACAATCAAAAAATATGCCCTTTCTGCAAAACTAACATTGACCCAAAACTAATGTATGATTTTACGTCAAGTGCTATATTAAAAAATTTTTATGAAAAAGCGGAAGATCTTAACGATAATATAATAAATGAACAACAAATATTAAAAAATATTTATTCGAAGTCTAAACTATTAAAAAAGGCAAAAGATGCAGAAGAACAAGAAAGATATTCAGATGCTATAAAATACTTAGATCAAGTAATCCAATTTTATCCAAAAAGTTATAAAGTTCAATGCCGTAAAGCATACGCAATTTTTGAACGTGGACTAAAGGAAAATCCAGAAATTGCCATTAGATCGCACGTAAAAGCTCGGGATATTTTAACATTAGCAATTAAATTGAAACCAGAAAAATCATTGGCTTACATATGTAGGGGCCGAATATATTTTTATCATAATAATAATATTGAAGCACTGAGAGATTTTGAGTATGCACTAAAACTTGAACCAAATAACAGAGATGCACATTTTTACAAAATAACAATATTGAATGAAGTGGAAAATTTGGAGAAATTCAACGATGCAAAAAATGAGATCATAAAAAGAAAGATATTCAATTCGATACCAATAATTTCATTATTAACAACGATCAAACCAAGAAAAATGATATTTGGACTGGGAAATTCATTACCCGTTAAGCTTTATTCATTAGATGATTCGACAATTTCAGGATATGTTTATTTCAAAGTATTTCAGAAATTTAAAGAAGCAATAAAAAGTTGTACTCAAGCTATAAAATTTAATGATAAAAATGCAATTGCACTGGGAGTAAGAGGAATTTCTTACCATAAAAATAAATCATTTTCAGACGCGTTGGATGACTTTACTAAAATATTAAATATACTTCCAAATAATAAAATTGCTTTGGGATTGCGTGGAAAATCATATTTATCTATAAAAGAATATGACAAAAGTCTTGTTGATTTAAACGAAGCAATTGAATCAAATAATGAAGATTTCAATAACTGTGAATCTACTTTTCACTTTAATAA